CGACGAAGAACCAGTCAGAGGTTGAACAACACATGCAGAAAAACGAGAAGATTTCCTTGGGAATTGTTTCGGCAAAAATATGAGTGTTTCTGCGGAAAAAATATTCGGCAGAATCCTGCATGAAAAAACTAAGCAGAATAAAGAATATTTCTGCCGAATATTTTTTCGGCAGAATCCTGCACGAAAATTTCGGCAGAAAAGCAGATTTTTCTACAGAAAAATAAGTCTGCATACGTTTCGAAAAAACATCAGCGTTCGTGAATCGGCGTTTCCCCGCCGAAAACTGAAAAATTGAAACTCCCGACGAAAAAATATTTTGCCGTAGGAACTTGCGGAATCACGCTCATTCTTTTTCACTGGGCAGATGATAAGAGAAACACTCAGATGTAGAATCAATGTGACAATTAAGAATAGACTTTTTTCCATTGACTTAAAATTAAAATAAATCTAAATTTCAACGTCCAACTATTTCATATGAAAGCGCCTTAGAAATTGAACAAAATTTGTATAATTACTATTTCGAAATCAGTGATTTTAGTGAAAAATTCAGAATATTTTAAGTTTCAGTTAGACATGGTATTTGTTATTATTAATAAATTCAATTATGAAGTGAATCGTTAAATACGGAAAAACTGGCGTGTTTTGAAGTGCAGAAGTTGCTCTTTCAACTGAAACGAGAATGAAGGCGAAGGTGTGGTTATGGGTGAAGAAACGACAACACCTACATGCACACCCATACCCACATCCGTTTTTCTATCGATCTATGCTTTTAAGAGGCCAGGTTCTTATGTGATCGATACAACGAAACATTAAGAAATTCGACATTAAATCAACTACTAGCATTTCTCATATATGAAATTAAAAAATTATTGTTTCGTTGACTCATGAGAAAGAAATGTCGATTCAAGTGTAATGCACTAGTTTATGCAAATATTAGTGTATATTGATTGTATGAGCATTTTGTAACATTTATTGAAATAATTTAACTAAAGTACGGATACTGAAGACAAGAAGGATCTTGAAATTTTCTGCAGATTATCAGTTTTGTTTCTAGACAGAGGATCAATCTACTTCAAATACAAATTGTGTAATTTAATAGCGCATTCTTTCAAAAAACAAAATGTCCCGAGCTAAGAATGGCTGAACGTTTTCATAAGGAGTGAGGCTCAACAAAAGATAGTGCTTGTGCAAAAAAAGTTAGTTTTGATGATATTAATGTGTTAATCTATTTGATACTGTTCTTATCAAGCAAAGTATCATGTCATCTCACTACCCCCATCCCATTTTCTACATACAAACATCCAAGCAAACAAACATACAAACCCATTTTATTTCATATGACCCTTCCTTCGGTAAAGGGAATAAAAATTGAACACGTTTTCAATAGTTTAAAAGTGAAAGACGATCGATCGGGGGCCTAAAAGGAAAAACTGTTTTCGGGGCTAAATCGCAGATTTTCATACAATTCCTTAGATTCCAATTTGAGAAGAGCATTTTCTTTTATCTACTAATGTAAAAAATCAATATTTTAGTATTTAAAATTTCCGTTTTACACAAGTTTTATAGAGCTCTCCTCCAAAACCGGCTTTGAAAAACGTTTTCAAAAATCTTTTCGCTTGTAAAAGATGCTTCATAAATTCCTCTTTCGATATCTGAAAACCCCATTGTAATGACAAATGGGAGGAGTAGATTTACCGCCAGTCTTGATAGTGATGTTTATTGACCTACTTCACATCTTGAGAATGTAACTACTTCACAATACAACACACGCCTATACATGAGAGAGAAGGAGAGAGAAAGATAAGCACAGAAAATAACAACAGAAAGAGAATAAGAAGCAAAAGGAAAGGCAGATCAGCGTAAGGTAATATCAATATGGTCACATCCATCTCTCTAGCTATTTTTGTTGTTGGTTTATTAAAAAAATGACCATGGACTATTGTTTTTTCGGATGACCAATAGTCATATCACTACCCGTTTTTTCGCCTCCAGTGATAAGAACTTTGCCTGAATTGAGCAGGGTTGCAGTATGAGAAGCACGTTGTATTGACAGGCTTGCACTAGGATTCCATTTGCCTGTTGATGGATCGTATATTTCAGAACTATCTAGGTAACCGGTATATCCGTAGCCAGCAGAAGCAAGAACTTTGCCTGAATTGAGCATGGTTGTAGTATGAGAAGAACGTTCTGCTATCATGCTAGTAATATTGTTCCATTTGCCCGTGGATGGATCATATATTTCACAACTATCTAAAAAGTCGGCATCTCCTACGCCACCAGTGACCAGAACTTTGCCCGAACTGAGCATAATTGAAGTATGAAATTGACGTGCTGTTGCCATGCTTGCAACAGTGTCCCATTGGTTTGCTGATGGATCATATATTTCAGAACTAGCCGAATACACGGCTGATTGGACGCCACCAGCGACAAGAACTTTGCCCGACTTGAGCAGGGTTGCAGTAGGATTATAACGCGCTTTTGGTCCCATGCTAGTAAGAGAGCTCCACTGTCCCGTTGATGGATCATATATTTCAGAACTAGCCGCACTACTCGTGACAAGTACTTTACCCGAATTCAGTACAGTTGCAGTATGACCAGAACGTGGTATTGCCATGTTGGCAGTAGGACTCCATTTGTCCGTTAATGGATCATATATTTCACACAAATTCACAACGGCGTTTAAGTTAAAGGTGGTACCGCCAGTGACAAGAACTTGGCCCGAATTGAGTAGGGTTGCAGTATGAAAACCGCGTGGTGTTGCCATGCTTGCAGCAGTATGCCATTGGCCGGTTGATGGATCATATATTTCACATGTAGCCGTATAACCGGTATATCCTCCGCTACCAGCAACAAGAACTTTGCCCGAATTGAGCAGAGTTGCAGTATGAAATTCACGTGGTGTCGCCATGCTTGCAGTAGTGGTCCATTGGTCCGCTGATGGATCATATATTTCAGTAATAGCTATAATATTGGCTGATTTGTGACCGCCAGTGGCTGTGTGTGAATTGAATAGGGTTGCAGCATGAACATGCATACCTGATCCAGCTCCGTTGGAGACGCTAAAACGAAACGAAAACGGCATTAAATTAGTTGTTAATTTCCAACCATGGTGGAGTTTGGTTCTTTCAATTCGTCATGACTTTCACAGTGTCTCTTTCTTTCTATTCACATGCACAACCTTCTCTCTATGTCCCATTGTTATTCCAGCTTCAATGCCTTATGTTTCTTGTAATAAGAAGATATCTTTTCTTCTTTGTTAAACAGTACAAATTTAATTGCTTATATATGTAGAGCTTATAGGCACTTTTAATATTTTTCTTGATTTAGATAGTTTTTTAACAAAGAAAATTGCAGCAAAAACTTGCCATGTATGAAAATCAACTATTACACGTTAATTGGTAAAACAGTTATAAAAAGATGAATATCAGACACTTTCAGCACTAAAATCAAAAGCATTAAAAATAACGACTGCGTCTGTTTCACTACGACCTCCGTTTCGTTCACTAGCAGTTCTCGACAAAATAATCAGTAAAACAATTGTATCAAACGAAAACCATCTATCTTAGCTAGTCGGAAATAACTACAAATATACGTGTTCCTATCAGGCAGAATCAAAACAAAGACAGTTTTTATACAATTCTAAACATTATTCGAAAACATTTGTGTGTATCTGCCACCAGTATGCCGTCTGAAAGAATGATTTCATTGAGTAGATTCATGACAAGTAATCGACGTGCACGTTTAGCAGCCGAATCACCTGATGACATAAGTTTCTGGAACAGAAATTCTCAACTTAAAAAACTGAAAATCAAATTGTTTATTCAATTAATCTCTCTCTTGTACTGTGATAATTTCTTGTTGATTAAACTTGTTTGTTGTCGTATGAATAAATGACTACAGAATGATTAAACTACTATCGACTATACGTGCAGAAAGAAACGAAAAAATATAAATGAGCATCTACTATCGTTAAGAAAATATATAAGACAGAGGAAGAAAAGAAGAAACATGCCGATACTTACATCCATGTAAACAAGGAAAGTACAACAAGATAATTCACTGACATCATCCGAAAGTAAAACTTTGTTCTTTTTGATAATAAGCACTGTGAGAAATATTCACTATGATAGGAGAATCGAAATGAAATAGAGTTAAGCAGAAAAAAAACATATTTAAAACTATTTAAGAATGACGTATCCCAGAACAAAATGTCATGTTTCAATTTTCTCATATTGATAATTTGTATTTTTTATAATAACAGGTGGTTCAGAATAAATGGCCACCTTCGTATTTTAGTGATATCTCCCTCAATTTTCATTCGGTCGACCTAAGCTATTTTTTAGAAAGATGCGCCATTTAATTTTACACAAAACAGATATTCTTTATTCGTGCAAGTAATTTCCTTTATTTTGCGCCATACGATACAAACGATTCGGCCAGCTCGAGCAACTTCACACACAACTTCGAATAATATGCTACAAGCCATCATGAAATATAGGATTTTCATATATAATCCTAAATTTTTTATTTGATGACTAATAGTGCATGTGCCGATAATATTTTAAACAATAATTATTCTCACTATTGTTAATCGTATTCATTAATGCTAATTTTTTTTTTGCAATATTTTGTTGTTCACACTTTTTTGTTCTATAAACTTTATTACTTTGTGGGTGATTTTTTAAAAATAACAACAAATTATAATACTCCACTACGGTATGTGATGTATCTACAATTATGTATACTCTTTTACAACACTTTTTACTATACTCAAGAGTAGGATATCACAAAAAAGAACAAAAGACTTGTGGCATCCGTGGATACCACTAATGTGATAGCCTAAAACTAAAAGTTTAAAAATATAAAAAAGTTGACACAAGAGGTCTCAGCATATTTTTAAATGTGGCTAAAGAAGTTTGACAGGCTAAAACAGAAGATAGTTCATTCCAATCTTTTGATGTTCGCGGAGGAAAAGAGCTAGATGCAGATTTTGATATTAAACAAGGAATTAACACGCGACTATCGTGGCCTAATCGAGAACTTCTACGCGTCATTAACCGTGAAATCAGATCAAAAGAGAAAAGAGGACTTTTATGATTGAAATTTTATAGAAATAGAGAGCGACATAATATAGACGTCTGTTTGAAAGCGCTTGAATTTTAAATTGTTTGAGTAGAGAAGAAAAAGAACTACTAAAATCTTGTGAACTGATCCTACTAGCAAGGCGCTGAGTTTTATCCAAAACTTCAAGTTAGCCTGATCCAGCACCAATATTTTGTGTCACAGCTTGAGCTATTACAATTCGTTGTTTTTCATTGTCAGACAACTACATACCCTTTTATCCTACATTTGTTTTATAACCTGGTAGATAAGAGCAACGAGTGAATTTACATGCAATGCAAGCGAGTTAACAAATTACCTCTAGGAGAATTGTATAAAATTATGAATATTAACTTTCTGAGCTACTGCACTTATTTCATCAATCGATAACTGGCGCCTATGAACATCATAGGCAATATTATTACGTTTAGATAGATTGAATAAGATAGGTTCTTGTGAAACAATGACAATGGTTACACCTCCACCATTGCCGGTTTAAAGTTGATATGCTATGTCCATCAATTAACTATAGAAACCAAAGTATGTATTACACCTTGTTCATCAACACAACAAGACGTTAAAACACTACCCACTAAATGACCATGATTAACATCATAAAAATGTTCTAGCTGTACAACCGCCGGTTTTCCGCAATCTGATCTTAATATTGCAACTAGAGATGGGCATCGGGACCAAAACAATTTTCTGGTCCCGGTAAAAGATTTGATTGCCGTTCCATCACCTTCACGGTTAAAATATCATTTGGCCGTGCATTTTGTAGAGAAATGTTTGCTCTTTCAG